CAGACCACCCCTCCCTTGGATTTTCCAAAGAACTCAAGATACCCCTCCCTTGGAAATCCAACGTTTTCAGACCACCCCTCCCTTGGATTTTCCAAAGAACTCAAGATACCCCTCCCTTGGAAATCCAACTTTTACAGACCACCCCTCCCTTGGATTTTCCGAATGTCCTCAATAGGGGGTGTGCGGACTAAAAATGCACAACTCCAGCTATCCAACATGTTCCACTATCTGACGTCATCACAGCCCAGGCATCCCAAGCCATCAAATCCGCGATATTCCACAGGGAGCCCAGCTTAAGTCATTTCGCAACTTTGACGGACAATATCACCCCAAAAAACGCATTTCATGGAATTTTCATTTCGATTTTCAAAATCAACAAGGTTTGGTGTACATTTTAAGCTATGATGTGTCTGGCACCTCAGAGTCCCTTTAAGCACTTTTGAAAAGGACCTTTCGTCTTTTGGACCCTAACTATTTTTGTTAATATTTCATATAATTTGAGGAGGAACTCGTATCTAAGTTATTAGACGTATTTTTTGATGTTACTCAGAGTTTATGAATAACAATTCGTATATATAGATAGATACTTTTTCTGGAGATTAAATAAAGTATCCACTCACACACCATTAAAATTTACATTTCTTCTCCCATCTTTTCTTTTTTCTCTTCTTTTTCCCTCCTCTCCACTTCCATTTGCTCCCTTTTATTCATTTAAAAATAAATAAATAAGTAATTTTTTCACTCCAATTAATAAAAAGTATTCAATTATCTAGACTTACTTGTAGTAAAATCAATATGACGATAAAGTTCAAAGGTATTCGAAACATATTCATTATGGTAGCTCGACCTGACAACAAAGCAACATATACTTTATTAAGAGGGTCATCTGATTGTTTTAAGTCAAAATAATTTCATTCCCAGACTCGGCATGACATGTAAGTAGAATTTTTTGGGTCTCTCCCTTAATTAGAGGGTTTTAATTTTCTACAGGTTCTCCTGTTTTCCTACCTCCACAAAATCTAACTAGTCCAAGATCCTAAATCCAATTCGATATATGAGTTAGCCGTGTCCTTACTTTGACCAGTCCAGAGATTGTTTCAGGGTTCAATCTGTGAGTTAGCCATGCCCTGACTTAGATCAGCCCTGGGGTTGTTCCAGAATTCGATCTGTGAGTTAGCCATGCCCTGAATTAGATCAACCCAGGATCAGGTTGTTTCAGGGTTTGTTCTGAGAGCCGTGACTTGGCTTTGATCAGCCCAGTGTGGGTTGCAGGGTAAACTTTTGGACACCCGCCTGGGGAGGTTGTCCAAAAATTCATTAGTTCGGATAGCTGTTTTAGGTAGTGAGTATCAGGAAATGCCCCCCTCCCCATCCCCACCCTCAGTTCATACATAGGCTCCTGGAAATGCTCGATAGCATAGCTTGAATAATACAGCCCATTTTAAAGATCATTGAACACGATTTTTATTTTTGGAGGTCAAGGTACCATATATCTCTAGCTCTCCTGTCTAAATCTCGTTCCCTTTGTATGGCAATTGTTTTGAACCCATCTTCAAGAACACTCCTTGCACTATTGAGGCAAACGTGAAATACTTCAATTTCAAGTCGCCTTTGCTCAGTCTTAGCCTCGATTGTGTACAAATGTGTACTTTTCTTTTATTAAGGTCCATTGTATAGTAAGGAATGTATGGACTACGGAACAATACGAGTTGATTAAAATGCCACGGGTTTTGGTTGAATAGCTGAATATTATAACGCACAGACGAGACTAAGGCTGAGAAACTGGAGTACTGCTCCATGATCACATATTTCTCCATATTGGATTGTACTACGCGCAATTTTTCAAGCCAGCTCAAAATTACGACGTCGCACATAATTAGCAAAGTTTGATGAGCAGAACGAACTAGTTCTGCAGGTTCTGCAGTGCAGTAAAAAAGTTTCCATTTCAGCCAATTACAGCGTGGGAGAAAACGAATGGGCACGGCACGGTACGGCACGTTCAAAGCGTGAGTTTTACGAGTCCTAATTTGTTTCTGTTTCAAAAATGCACTTACTTTCTTCAGGAACATATTTTGATCTCATTGTACCAAGTGCAGGCCAGAATATACCTGTGGTACAAAATACCAGGACGTTTAAAATAATATTTGGACTAAGGCTTGGCTAATGCACTAATGTCTTAGCTACCCTTTACCTTACCTTCCTTTCCCTCCTTCTTGACATCCTAACCATCACCAACAGTGATATTCACGGCAATCACCATCAACCTCACTATCACAATACCATCGCCAACACTGATCATCACTGGCATCACCATCACCATTAACTTACCCCACTATCACCACTACCATCGCCAACAATGACCATCACTGTCATCACCACCACTTTCACCACCAAAACCATTACTGCAGCGACCACCAAACTCTTATTACTATTACAATCATCATCATCATCACCATCTTTATTGTCGTTGTCACCACATGCAACAGCCATAATATCACTTTAACTTACCAACACAAACCTCAAAGACCAAAAATGCTATGAATATTGACGTCTGACTCTAAAAGTAGAACAAGTTGATTCTTAATAATAAAACCTTCCTATTGGCGGAAAAAGATACACTTATGACTTTCCACCAATCCGCACAGAAACACATAAAGGCCCGCAACGGTACTGCATTTGCGCAAAGATGTGCGCAACATTACACTATATGTGTCTAATTTTTGAATTGTTATTTTAAACACGATGATAATATTGTTGCAAGAAAATTTAGAACTATGAGTTAGACTTGCACCAAGTTGTGCCTGCGAAATCACAGGGAAATGCTTGGTAATTTGAGGGTGTTCTGTGCATGGAGAGTGAATTTTAGATTTTTGAGTCTGCCGTTACATAAACACTCAGTCGCTAGCAACGTTGCGGATACACAACGGATACACAATATGTCGAGCTTTAACCAATCACATTGCTTCAAGCTTTTCTTAAAATTCTAAAAGACTCATACGTTGATTTTTGCGGAGGGAGGAAACTGGGGAACCCAGAGGAAAGCCCTCGAAGCACAGGAGAGAACCAACAAGCAACTAAACGCACATACAACTCCGAGTCCGGGAATCAAGCCCTGGTCGCGAAGCACTATCACCGCTACAGCACCCGTGATTCTCTAACAATATATCATAGCTTGTCGATATGTCTGTCTACTGCTGGTTATAATAGAATGGTTATTTCTTTGACGGTACTTACTTTAGGGGATATAATGGGGACTGTGAGAGACATAGCAGCAACAGCAAACACTACCCTGAAAAACAAACAGACCAATAGACCTCTTTATCTTTGACATAATATTTTCCCATTTCAGACCACGTTTCATTCTCTTGAGAATAAGATTCTTTGTTTCCGTCGTATCCATATTCACGTGTCTTCTCATGCACAACTGTTAAACAAAGGAATGATACTCTAGGGAATGAAATGGGAAAACATTACGCCCAAGCTAAAAGGGTCTATTTTTTCAGATTTTATTTTTATATCTCAAAAAATAAAAATACTAGTGTCGTGATAAAAATACTTATTAATAAAACCATTTAAAATAAGGACAGGAAATGCTGTGAAAACTGACTAAAAAAGGTGTAAAAAGAAAAATCATGTAGCAGCGCATAACAAATGGCATCTGCTTCCAGTTTGGGCTCCCTGTGTTATAGAGGGTTTGCACCATCATGTGATGGCAGCCATGACAGGAGGCAGGCACAATAACAGAGTCATTCTCCCCTGGAAAAAAGAATTTTTTTCTAATGTAAATCAGATTAGATTAGGTTCAATAGTCCCTTTCACGGTTCCCTGCACCATCTTGAGAGGTAGCTGTGGCTTTGCATCAAAGCAAGACGAACGGTGCGCTTACAATGATAGAGACATGTGAATAGTTGTCCAAGGTGTTTTAAAAAGGTATCTATCATTCCAAGCTCGCCGTTCGTCTTGCTTCGATGCAAAGGCATGGCTACCTTTAAAGATGGTGCAGGGAACTGTGAAAGGGACTATTGTTCCTGCCTCCTGTCATGATGGCTGCCATCAAGTGATGGTGCAAAGCCTCCATTCCATACCTCATAAAACTCTCTGGTGAGTTTGTTCTACACAAATATTTGAATATACTTGAACCCAACATGATTGACACCTGAACAAATGCAATAAATATATAAGAATTAGTAGATCACTAGATAAACAATAATTGGGTTTCCTGTGGTGCAGTCTTAAAACCAAGAGACCAAATGCTGAAGTCAACAAGGTCATTTCATAATGGTTTTGAATTTTTTTATACTCAAGTAATCATCAGGTTTTATTGTACAATTATATGAAATAGGGCCTTTCTAAAGTTATGATAGTAGAATATAGACTCATCCAACCCTCCCTTGACTCTTGAAAAATCTATCTTATGCAGTTGTATCATAATATTTTCTGGCATTAAAATTTTGAAGCATTATTAATAAAGTGAGGGTGCTTGCTAACCATATATGATGCAAATATCCAGCCATGTGGAATAGTCTGTTTTACATCCTTTGTACCCAGTTTTTCCACTGAAAGAAAAAGGATACTAGATTGATGGGGAAGGTACGTTTTTATGGAGGGAGGAGGCTTCAGAGGGGAGGGGTAGGGGGCTTCAGAGGGGTG